ATGGTGTTCATTTTTGACAGTGAGAATGAAGGCCTCAGTTTGAAAATTTATTGCAATATTAAAAGGACTTACTTGACTAATCCATTCCAGTAGACTTCTGGCAGTATGTCTTTTTTCATGTAGTACATTGAGTATCGCTCCTAATTAAAAACAAAAGAACCAAATTATGATCAAGCAATTACTTATAAGCAAGCAGCAACATAGTAATACCCAAAGCCCACAAACTTTATGTGACAGACACACAAGGCTAAAAAAAAAATAGAAACTAAAAAGAAATTGGAAAAAAAAAATTAGCAAGTACCTGAATTTGAACATCTCAAAAGTTTATATTTTTTTGAAATTCTCGTTTGAGATGAACATTTTAATCAGTTCAACGTCAATAAACACATTTCAGTACTGATCATCATGGATTATACTCACTTTTCCTTGATCAAATGGAAATGTTTCCAGAGGCTCACCATTGAAGTCAAATTCAGCAAGGATAAGTTTACCATAGCTTGTGACAAGGGGACATGATGTGTAGCCATCATACTGGGGTGCAAGAGAAAGGATTAGTTAACATATGAGTTCATATTCATTGAATTACTGGTAATCACATTCATTTTGTTGCTTTATTCATGGTTTATTGATGAACAACATAGTGTTATGTTGAAGGAAATACATACATCCTATTTGGCTAGACTAGGTTCATTATTTACCACATCATAATTATAACAAACTGGTAAATGAGTAGGAATAATTAGTGACAAAATTTGCAATCCAAAATTTGCACATACTTACTTGCTTACTTAGTTTACTTACAGTTTTTTATAAATTGGCTAATGGTATCACTTAAATACCATTTTAACCCTCAACCAGATAAACAAAAAGAAGATTGAAAAAAAAAAAAGAAAAAAAAAAGAAAATATGGTACCTGAGCTGGCATGGGTTTCCCATCCAACATTGCAAAAAGGTTTGCTTTAATAACACCAGACTGGCCAGCCACAGCGGCAGCCGTTTTGCCATTGGGGGAATTAGAGCAGTCACCAATAGCAAAGATGTTGTTATATTTTTTATGTCTCATGGTGACCTTATCCACATCAACAAAGCCAGCCTGATCAGAGATGGGACTTCCTAGAAGGCAATCTGGGGGTCCCATAGGAGGAGTGATATGAATGAAATTATACTGCAAAGAGAAGCCAAGCAAATAAATACTCACAATGAAAATAGTTCACAATTAAATGTTTAATAACACGCATACATGAAAGACTGACTCAGTTCTGACTGGTTAAGATAAATGCAGTTTTCAGGTAAATCAAAGCAGAAGAGGGTTAATTCAATGCAAAGAGGTAACAAACCAGACTGAACATTTCCTTGAACTGTTCAGCTGAACTTTGAACTATTTTGTGCCCAAAAGGTGTGAAAGTATCATTATATATTATTGTTTTGACCAAATGCACAATGTCACCTGCAGGGTTTGAATAAATTATTTTTGCCCTTGATGCATGCAATTTGCTTCTGCATAATTTTGATATGCTATCTCATATTTTTTCATGCATACTATATGATTTTTCTCATGCAATTTGGAATAAATAAGCACTTTTAAATTGTTTCATTGACCACAAATTGCACTCACCCTACAGGCTTGTGCAATTTTGTTAGTCTTTGAAAAAAATTACTTGTGCGTATGTATTCCAAATTGCACTCAAAATCATGCGATTACCATAATACTTATTGTTGACTGAATGCAAGGACTAAGGTTGCAGCCCATCCCAAGAGGCCATTTATTTGTGTAACCTCTCCTAGAACCTGAGTTAATGACCCTTTACACCCTAACATCAGTATGCTTATTCTCCATACTGCTCTTCGCTCATTTCCTAAGTTACTGCATGACAAGATGAATTTTATTAACAATCAAGAGCTTTGAATTGAAGCTCACAGCTTGAACTCTAACAGATATATAATTACTGACTTGTATGTTAAGTTAATAGCACTAACAAAAAGAAGTTCTAAAATGTAGTTCAACTCCATGCCATTCAAAATGGTAAATTATCCTTAAAAATGGCCTTATGAATACACCTACCTGATAGGTTTCTAGCAACTTTTTTTCACTGTCTGTATCATCTGGAACTTCAAACACAGCTTCTTTTTTCTCTGGATTGATTGAAATCAAGTTTCGCTTGAAATTTAATTTTATGTCTCTCTTCTTCACAATTTTTGTCAAGGCATCTGCATACTTCTTCACACCAAAAATTTTCTCCAGTGAGGTGTTGAACATAATGTTGGCTTTGTGACGAACATTGTTCTAAAAATTTTAATGGAATATTTATTAATATTAACAAAGAGGGTCACAAGTCAAGTGATCATTTAAAATCCAAGACTGATGAAGTGATGAAAAATATGATTCAAATCATCTTTAGTTTTGAATCAGTGAGTTGTATTTTTTTAGATACTTCCTTGAAATTATCAGAGGAAAAAATGTACCTTTCGAAAGTAATCTTCTGCAAGGTACATGATCTTTTGTGGGGCACCCAGACACTTTATAGGTGTGTTGGGGACAGTGAAGATGGCATTTCCTCCCTCAAAGTTCTGTATCTCTTTCCATGTGTCTGTCACTGTGTTGGCAGAATAATTACAACCCACACCAGGGGTTCCTAAGGCTTCTTTTAGACCAGCAACCTATAAAGGCGAAAGTTATAGGAGTTAGCAGAAAACCTTACCTTAATCCTGGTTCTCACAGGAAACATAACAGTCAATATACAATTCACTTTCTTGACACCTGGATTAGTTAATTATTACATGAAGACACACAAACAACATATTCGGTCCTAACCTGTAAGCTTAAGATTCACAAAGTTTTTAACCCCAACATCCACAAAACTATATGTAACATGATAACTATCTTTATCTTTAGATTTTCTCAGCTGATCCCCTAACACTTTTTTATCATACACCATATGGCTTAAATAACTTGTTTGAAAGATCAAACCTTGCAGTTGCCTATTATGAAGAAATTCTGTCTTTCATCTAAAAATCTTTGAAGAGGGTTGCTAGTTTTTCAAAGGTGTTACTATCTTACTGAAATTACTAGCTTAAAAATAAAAAACCCTATTGGTTCCCCAAGAATAAAACTTGGGTTTTTAACACCACACTGTACTGAAGAAGACACTGTCTATCACTAATTATTATATAATAATTTGAAGCAATTATTGGTACTTACCTTGTCAAATCTAAGCTGAAGACCTGCAGCAACAATCAGAAATTCATACTTAATCTGCAAAAAATAAGTTATCTTGTTAATTATTTTATGTATTATACTAAGAAAAAAACCCAGGGTAATTAAAACAAGGACCCATTCTTAACTCCCATTCCAAACAAGAACAAGGAATGATCTACACCCTTGAAAATAATAGCCAGAGCAAACCCCTTCCTATTAAGACAGAGAGCAATCACCATATCCTGTTAGCAAGGCCTATCAATATTTGTAATAATACATAATTATAGTGAAAGTAACCATTAACCTCATCTCCATTAGATGTTAGTACAAGATTTTGATCTGGATTGAATTCCACGACTCGAGTTTTATGCCATGTGCAGCCTCTGGGAATGAGGCTTTCAGTAGGCCGCATAGAGCTCTCAAGACGTTCAACTCCACCTCCAACCAATGTCCAAAGTGGCTGATAATAATGATTCTGAAAATAAAAAGTATAAAGCTTTACACATGAAATTCACATTTAGAAACTATATATCCTCAAATACAAAAATTCAGCAAAAAGGAGGGGCACCTATTTGAAGGATGGTGCTTAATCAAGGGGAGTGCTTATTCAGTTAGCAGTCAGCAATAAGACAAAAATTAAAAGAACAGATAATGCACATGAAGAATTCTGCTGGCACATGGAGAACAGGGAGCAGGACAAAAATACAATGGGACAAAAAAGAAATTATTTTCTTGTAATGTAGGAATGGAAGCTTAAAAAGTTGTAAATACAGTGACGATAGAAACAGGTTTTCCTTGTACCCCTACTATTTGAGAAAGTAGGGGAGGAGGGCACTTATCAGTCAGTGGACTGCTTGTTTGATACTATCATCTTTTGGGTACAGTGCTTATTAGAGAAAAGGCACTTATTTGAGAAAATACAGAAAGTACAAAAAAAGCATCCACTACATATTAGATATCAAGGACTCAAATTTCCACATGACAAGCTAGGCAGGTGAAACAAGAGAATATCTAAACTCTCTGCCCCAGTCAATTGTTAAAATTAAATTTATCTGAATTTTATTACACAGTTTCACCTATTAACTGATGTTGATTGAAAAGTCCATGTTGTCTTTTATCAATGAATGATCAAAGATAACAAGTCTGAATTTTGATAGTTATCACATGTTCATGCATCATTGCTTACTCCTCTCAATTCATAGATTGGCATTATGTTAATGTATATGTCCTACAGATATGTTTCTCAACTCTTAACTAACAGATCAAGATTATTTGTAATTAATAATGGTAATTGAACTGAGTGGAGTGCAATTTGGGCTGAAATCATACGTGTGATTTCAATATCAAACGAGCACACAGCGCTTTTTCAATTTGAAACCACAAGTATGATTTCAGACCAAAATTGCATGACATGAGGTTCAATTACCACTTT